TATATAATAAATATAAATATATAATAATGTATTAAAATTTAATTGTAAATCCATATCGTCAAGGAAATTCTTATCTTTTTACGACACTGCAACTCGATTAAAATATTCATAATGATAATCGACCTTTAAAACTCCGACCTTTCCTTCCTCAAAATTGTCAGAGGTACTATATAAAACGTAAGTTCTTTCTTGATTACAAGGACTACTACTTCTTCTAAAATCATTTTCGACAAGAACTTTACGCTGAGAGATTCCACCATTCTTATATTCAAAACACATTTTAAAAGCATTCAATTTATTCTTGTCTTTAGGTACCTCATTATCACGGCCATAATATGTTAATGTTCGATAATCAACATCTTGTTCTGGAACAAAAGTAAAAACAACTTTCTTTAAACGGCAATGGCTCTTCTTTTGATCAATTGCTTGTTTGAAAGCATTATCAATATTCTTAATGAAATAACGGTAGTTAAAACCCTGACCATCTGCATTAATATCGATATCTTCACTATAAAGATACGAGAACCAGTCTGATTTTTTAGTAGAATTCGTTGAAGCAGGACCCTTGTTACCGTAATTAGACATCCTATATGAAAAACAAACGTTAATAATAAATAAAATTCGAAAAAAATAATTTATCAGAAATATATACTATTTGTATTATACCTAAAGTTTAAATATACAGTAATTTCTTATAATAATTTTTTATATATAGAGTCAAAAAGGAAGACAAATGGGGAAACAGGGGGAATATAAAAAAAGAAAAACAAAGAGAAAAGCCTCTACGGGCTAATCAATCTACCTTTATCAAGAAGCAGTTTGTGGTCAAATAATAAAAATTATATAACTAATACAACTATAGTATATCTCAACTGTAAAGTTTCACTTTATCTAGAATCTTCTTTCTAACATATGACCAAATCCAGATATGAAATAAATGGAAGGTTCCAATCCTCTGTAAGTAGCACCATGTTTATCATTATAATCACTTCAAAACACGTGGTTGCAATCCACCTAGTTGTCCAGATTTGGAAAGAGTAAACAATACTGATTTTCTGATAGGGATAAGCTGTTTTGCCTATTTTTTTCAAAAATTTTGTTAAAAGCACAAGTGGGTGATTATAAAGATGACAGACCAGAGTAAGCACCAAAACAAGGAGTGCAAGAGTTTATATTATATAGAATAGTATATTTATTTAAGCTTTTATCCTTGCTTTTGCTCAGATATAACTTGATAAAGACTTCTTTGGTTGTCACCAAAACTACTTGTTCGATAGCTTTATAGACTTCTACCAGAGAGCCAAACCCACAAGAAGCTGTCTTTTTCAACTCTATTTCATAGCGCTTATATGCAATCTGAAACTCTTGAACCCAGATGCTATTTGGCAAAGTTTTGTTATAAACAAACATACTAACTACACAATATTCATAGGTC